AGATCGAAGGTGAGAACGAAGGCAAGAGTGAAGGCGAAAGTGAAGGTGAGAGCAAAGGCGAGAGCGAAGGTGAGAGCGAAGTCGAGAGCAACGGCAAGAGAAAAGGCGAGGTCGACGGACAGAGCAAAGGCAAGAGAGGGCGGGAGACGGCTGTTGTCTGTCTCGTCGGGCGCACAGCCTCATGACCTGCACTAACTGCTCTGCCGCCAAATGTCTCCGTAGCCTGTCAAGTGGATGAGCCACGGTTGGCCCCGCATTATTTTGCCAGCACGTCTTTGAGGGCGAGTAAATTTGCTCTGTCGAAGAACTCTCCTCGACGGCGAAGATGAATGCCAGACTCGGCTCGGATCGGCTCTGTTTGGATCGGCCTATTGTCTCCTCTTTCGGACGTCCACCCACGAAGCACCACCCTCAATGACCCCCGCCAATCTCACATGTTGTCCTACAAAAGCCTGGCTGCTTTGCCTCTTTACTGTCCCCCACCCCCTCCGAGTCCCCGTCCCCATGCCGATGCCTGTGCCCATGCGCCTCGCCCCTTCGTCTACTAGCCTTGGTTGTCACTTCCACGTCATGCAATGCCTCAAGTCGGCCGGTAGTAAATGGTCGACTGCCACTTCGGCCGCATGTTGGACAGGAAAGCGGCGCTGGCGGTCGTAAATCCGACGCTTCGCGCTCAACCTGTGTTTATTGCCCTCGGGTCGGCGCAGGCTCTGTCCCCTTTCGGCCAAACGTCACTACCGACCAGAGTTGGCCTGCCCAAAGCGTGCTGGGTCTGTCCCGGCAAGTGGAACCTCCCTTTTGTCGGAAGGCCAGACGAGGGCTGGCCTCTCACCTGCGCTAGGTCCTAGCTCCGTCCAGTCCATCTGCTGGCAGCTGCTGCTGCTGTTTCTGATTACGAGGATGGCGACTATGATGATGATGATGATGATGATGTTGTTGTATGAGAAGAGGAGGATAAGGTAAAGAGGATAACGAGGTGGAAGCTGAGGATGCTCATATAGAGTTTACGACTACTACTACTACTAATAATAATAATAACGATTAGTATCATTGGCATTTTGATCTAAATAACAATGCTAATGAGTATCATAGTAATCCTGATAATAATGTTTATGGTGAGAATGCTTTTACCTATATTGCTGTTGATGATGATCATGATGTAGAGAAGAAGGAGAATAAGAATGTGCATTTTGATAATACTGATAGTATTTATGATTATTATAGGATTTGATGACAATAGTCACACTAAGCATAATGATCATGATCTGTGTTAACGTCAAAACAAAAAATAGAGATTATAATTATTAGAAAAAGTATTATGATCACTATCATAATGGTAAGAATGAAGAAGAGTATATAGATGAAAGTCAAGATAATCATTATAATGAGCATATTAATCATAATCATGATCATCATGAACATGAACATGACGATCACGGGAATGAGGATGAGTAGTATTTTAAGGATAATATTAATATTATTATTATTATTTGTAATTATAATAATTATGATGAAAAGGAGAAGTACAAGAATAACAGTGATGATCATGATCATGATAATGATGCCGGGTATGAAGGGAATGATGAGGCCAAAGGGAGGTCGGCAGAGTAGAGCATAAGAGTTGTGTTTTGCAAAGACGTTTATGCACCGGCGCCAGAAGAGAGGGGTTCAAGTGGCCCAAGCCTGCGAAATAGGATTACAGGGCGAGACGGAGTGGGAGACTGGGCAACTGCGGTAGTCTGCTGTACTGGCCTCGAGAAACGTTGCACTGAGGCGCGTGGCAAATGAATAATGGAGGAGGACTGTCGATATGTTACTTTGCGAGTTGGTAGGGACAGCCGGAAAACGGAGGCCTGGTCGGCGTGGACGGGCCGGAGGGGGGCAGTCTCTGAGGGGGGGCGTAGTCCGAGGCCATTAAAAGAGCGACTGAGCACAAAATTGGGAAACCAGAGCGTACATGAACCCGACGATTTGGGAGAACTGGAGTAGGCCCCACCGAGAGGTTGACTGGCTCGACACGGGATGGACGTCTCAGCCTCGGAGTGATTGTTTGGACGAGGTGAGTCTCGTCGGGCGGGCAACGGTCGGAGACAACTGGCGAGTCTGTCTGCCAAAAGCGCCGACCGGAAGTCGATTTGCTCTGCAATATCAACATCCACCGATCCGATTCTCCAAAGACGGGCTCATCTTTCGACAGATCCTGAACCCAGCCTCGAACAGAGTCTAACTCGAATCCATTAACCGCAGGCCATCAATTGAGTCGACCACAAACCCACAAGGCGAGCCACAATGACCGCTTGCCCCGGACAAGAGGAGAATAACAACTTGCGTTGCTCTGGTCGCCTCGTAACCAGCCGCCATGGTGACATGTATCAAATGAGGCAAAGAAGACTTCATGATT